AGACCTGGGAAGGAAACTATTCATTACTTTTGTTTTGGTGGGTGTTTCTTTTTTTGAGACAGGGTCTGGCTCTGTTGCCCAGGCTGAGCATAGTGGTGTGATTTCAGCTCACTGTAACTTCACCTCGGGGGCTCAAGCCATTCTCCCACCTCAGCTTCCCAAGTAGCTGGGACTACAGGTACACACCACCACATCTGGCTAATTTTTGTATTAACACTTTTGGTAGAGGTGGGGTTTTGCCACGTTACCCAGACTGATCTCAAACTCCTAGGCTCAAGTGATCCTCCCACCTCAGCCTCCCGAAGTGCTGGGATTACAGACATGTGCACCTCGCCCAGCCAATTTTGACATAAGACAAGATGCTCCGGTGTAAAAGTCAGTTCAGACAGGTGTGAACACAGGCCTGACCTCACCACCCCATTCCCTGCCCAACTCCTATCCCCACCTAGAAGTTAATTCACTGGGTCTTTGTGGGTTTGAGATCTCCTGTGGATCACCAGTTTCTTCCACAATGCCAGGATCTTAGCAAGGTGCAGTGAAGAACCCCAGATATAAATAAAATGTTGCACTGTGTTCACTAGCAGGAAATAAGGTGCACAAACTTCTCTGAGACAAGGAAGAGGGAGCAGAAAGACACTTCCTCTACAAAGCCTCTGGGAGGTGAGCCAGCCTGGCCTGGCAGAGGGGGACACTGAGGCTCAGAAGAGTGAAGCCACGTGCTCAAGTTCACTGGCTAATGCAGAGGCCAAGATGCAAGTCAGCAGAGACCAGAAGTGTTCACTGGGAAAGTTGCACTCAGGTTCACAGGGAGGCAAAGGGGAAGGCAGGGTGCAAAGTGGCAGTGGGATTCCCTGCGACATCACCCTTGGCCACAGCTGCAGCAGGAAGCACCAGCCCACACACCAGTACCTGCAGCTCCCACCACAGCTGAGGGCTTCTGCACTGTTCTTCAAAAGACACGTGAAAGGTAAAGTGAGAACAGCACATCTCACCAGCAATACCTGCAGAGCCAGCTTCATTCACACCATCTCTGGGCTTCATGGACACTTGACACATTTCTTGCTAATCAAAGCTCTGTCTGATGCCCACATTCTGCACAATGGAGGTCACAGCTGTCTGACGTGTAGCTGGGAGCAGACAGAGACTGTGCTACATAGAAAATGGGCAGATTGGGTTGTTAAGTGCAAGGAATTAAGTGTTTTCAGCTATTTCCAGCATGTGTTCACAGAAAGTAGAAGCAGTGGCTAAGACAAGAGATTTGTCCCAGCAGAGAGCAGGCCAGGGTAGAAAGAGGTGATGCGCTTATTTCCAGTGACTCCTGGCAGGGAGTCAAGCTCTTTAGAAGAGAATTCTCAGACACTACAGTTCTCTGTAGACCAGAGAGGGGACAGAGGGCCAGTGAACGCAACACAACCAGTTTACAGGATGGAGTGATCCCACAACAGCCTGAAAAGCTCCCCGGCTCCTCCACACACGTGTCACATGGGTGCAATACTTTTCATCTTTCACAGTGCTTTTGTGACATGTAGCACGCCCAGGACAAATGTGCCTTGTTACGACAGTGCTCTGAAAGGCAGCCTTTGTCAAACCTGAATCTCTTGGGGAATCTGTTAAAACTGCAGAGGCCAAACCCCACCCCAGGCCCTCCGAGTCTCCTCTTGGTTAACAAGCATCCCAGGCAGCTCTGGGGGACCCTGATGAGAACACAGCTCTTTATCTCTTATGAGCTTCCCAGGAGCCAAGACTCTGGACCCCAACCAAATTCCTAGTCTGCTTCATTGAGGAATGCATCTGAAATCCCTCCCAAGGGCAGTTTAAACTCCCGACTTTAAGATAACAGCACAAACATTTGACCGAGGCCACGTTCTATGAGAACACTTTGCTATAATTTACTCTCTAGAACTTACAGGCAAATATTTGTTGAAGGAGTCATCCAGGGAACTCAGTGATTTCTGATCCCCAGCCTTTCCATTCTGAGGACTGGCCATGACCTTACCCAGGATAGCTGGGGAGATTGCCCTCCATGATGCCCTGCCTGCACATCCCTTTGTGCGCTTCATTGTTCTGGGGACAAACCCTGCACTGGGATGTCTGTTTCTTGTTCCTGGACTCCTAGATCCTGAGAATTTGTACATCTATTGCTTAAGCCAGGCTTCAGGGACCTCCTAGTCACTGTCAGGTGGCTTTGGGCCAAGCCACTTTCCTCTGCATGTGAATATATGTTCTCCCTGGTACAGCCAATGGCCTCCTGGGTACCATGGCCCAGGGCTGTGCTATCTTAACTCTGGAGCCCAAACTGAAGCACATGGAGGCTGTGATACCTCCTGTGTGACACCGTTCAACATGCCCCACTAGCAATAATTCAGGGCTGATGTTAAGGTAGTGAGCTTCCTGTCACTGGAGAGATCCAAGCAGAAGTTGATCTACCGTATATCAGGAATAGCAGCAGTCTGTCACTAACAGCCATCAACTGAGGCATTGGGCCTCTGGACCATTGATGTCCTTCCAACTCCAGGTATGTTTGATGCTGTGAATTTATTATCTTTCTTTTTTTTTTTTAAGACAGAATCTCCCTCTGTTGCCCAGGTTGGAGTGCAGTGGCACGATCTCAGCTCACTCCACCTCCCGGAGAATCAGGTGAGAGTCCACTCCTAAGATGCTGGGCATTTATTCTGAGTGATTCTCCCACCTTAGCCTTCTGAGTAGCTGGCATGACAGGCGTTTGCTGCCACACCCAGCTAAAATTGTGTATTTTTTGTAGAGATGGGGTTTCATCATGTTGGCCAGGCTGGTCCTGAACTCCTGACCTCAGGGGATCTGCCTGCCTCAGCCTCCCAAAGTGCTGGGATTATAGGCATAAGCCACCGTGCCCAGCCCAATTCTGTGAATTTCAAATATGGCTTCCACCACTGCGTCATTAAAAACATCCAAATTCTGCCCACACAGCTCTCTAACAATCAGACTGGTTTTGCACAAAGTTGTAAAATACAATTTAAGTATCTCCTAAGTGTCAGAATCATGAGAAAGAAAAACAAATTAATCAACAAAGAATCCCGCTTCAACAGTTTTCAAGCCAGCTTGTGTCTGTCACCAAACCACAGGTGAAATGCTAATAAAATCCAGCTTACATCAACAGCATAATAATTTAAAGATGGCCTATTTTTCCAAAGAAACACATATATAATATATTTCCAGACATGGCCTTTTTAATGAGTATAAACTTTTTTAAAAGAAAATTATTAGAAGACAGCAAGAATCTGCTGGAGAATAAAACGTGGCAGAGTCACTGCTGAATGGCAGAGAAAATTATCCAGGAGGCCCATCGGCGGGGGCAAAAGCTGTCTTCTTCAGGTAATCTAGCAAGACAAATGCAGCAGGAGGGATCCTCAGAGAAGAGGCAACTAGCAAGACAACAGTAATGAAGTCATTTCACCTTTCTAGCCTAATTCGAAGAGACGAGGCAGTAGGACCTTGTACCAGCTTTGCATACTGAGTGTGAATTGCAGCAGGAGAATCAACATGTGGGCTGAGCCCATCATAATCAGAATATATGCCCGGCAGCCTAGGAGCTGACTCCCACCTGCCCTTGAGCCTCAGCATTGCCCTGGACCACGTGACTTGCCTTTCTCAAGCCCAAAGCCTCTTTCTGCACTTCCATGCTTTTGCACATCTTCTCTCTGCTCCTTCTCTCCTTATCCACCTCAACCTCGTTCTAAACCCAGATTCGAAAACTACCTCCTCCAGACTGTCTTCCCTGATCTGCTCTGTAATATTGAATACTCCTTCCTATGGGCCTGCGAGCCTTCAAACCCTGTGTTCTGCCCATCATTACCCACCATATTGGCACATTTCTACTCTACAGTGTATTTCCTGCTTGCTAGACAGACTCTCCTACTAGACTGGAAGGTCTTTGAGGGCAGGGGCCGTGTTGTAGACATCGTTGTCACCCTGGTGTAGAGCACAGAATTCAGCAGCCACTAGAGGCCAATAAAGGCTTATGGAAGAAAGGTAGAGCCAAGGTGGAAGGCATCACCTTAGAAAGCCATTGACCCAAATGTTTAGGCCACAAAATCTCCTTGAAAGTTCTTTACTAAGATGGAGCTGTAAAAGGATATAACCAAACCAGTGATTGTCTGAAAAGTCCAGAGACTTTGATATTATGCTCATGACCTGAAAGGCATGGTCCCCTCCGATGGTATCTGGGGTTAAGCCTTGAAGTCAGGAAAGATCAGACTTGGCCCAGCTAGCCACCTTGCTGGGTAGTCTTAGGCAAGTTATACAACGTCTCTGAGCCTATTTCCTCAAGAAACATGCAGAGACAACTGCCCTGTAGGGTTGTCGAAAGATTGTAACGAAATAAAGTCAAGTGGAAGTGCCAGACACCACGATTTTCAATAAGTGTCATGCTCTTCCTCCACTACGGTCTGAATGCTTTTGTGTCCCCCAAACTTCATATGTGGAAAACTAGTCATCAGTGTGATGGTAGTGGGGGTGGGGTTGTTTGGAGTTGATTAGGTCAAAGGCCGAGTCCTCATGAATGGGATTGGTGCCCATATAAGAGAAGCCCCAGGCCAGGCATGGTGGCTCAAGCCTGTAATCCCAGCACTTTGGGAGGCCAAGGCGGATGGATCACCTGAGGTCAGGAATTCAAGATCAGCCTGGCCAACATAGTGAAACCCTATCTCTACTAAAAATACAAAAATTAGCCAGGCATGATGGCAGCTGCCTATAATTCCAGCTACTCAGGAGGCAAAGGCAGGAGAATCACTTGAACCTGGGAAGTGGAGGTTGCAGTGAGCTGAGATCTTACCACTGTACTCCAGCCTGGGCAAGAGAGTCTCAAAGAAAAAAAAAAAATGCCCCACAGAGTCTCAAAAAAAAAAGCCCCTTTCACCTTGTACCTGCTGGGAGATTTTAGACCACATGACACCTTGATCTTTTCACCTGTGAAATAGGCAGGCATGCTCTCAACTTAGGAATGACCTTATGTAGAAAGACAATTAATATTTATAACAAACTCCATTTATTCAAACTATTATATAAGTGTGAAATAGTCATCCCATTCTTCCTAAACAATGTAGGAATTACCTCATTTCTAAGAGGATTAAGGGATTGTCATCCATTAAAGACATGCTATTAAGCGGAGCAAATGGTTGCCCGTGGAAGAGGCATGTCTCCCCAGTGAGTGGGGATGAGTCTGTACTCTGCTCCCTGTGGCTCAGCGGTCCTCCTAGCTTTGTGCATTCCTCCCAAGATGTGCTGGAATAGGGTCTCATATAATCCCTACTGCAACATTTTGAGGCTGGTAGTGTAATCCATATTTTGCTGATGAGAAAACCGAGCCTCAGAAAGGCTTTCTGAGTTTAAATCCAGTGCCCTCTGCTCATCCTTGCCCAAGATGCTACAGGAGAAATGATTGTTGCATTGCAGAGAAGATGGAGCCAGGTGACTGCTAAGGTGTCTTCCAGGTGCGATGTTCTCCAGGGCTACAAGAATAGCAGGGGCTGAGAATTACTGGAGCAGGCACCCCTCTTCACTTCTCAAGAGGGGAAAGAGGAGGTACCTGAAGTGGAAATTGTGGCTGTTGGAAATATAACAGCACTCAAAATCAGATTCATGACATACCCCCTATAGATATCTGCCACGACGTAAAAGTGTCAATGTTTTTGTCCACAGAGGGGAAAAAAAACTGAACTATGATCATGTCCTTGGGAAACAATTCTCAAGGGTCTTTCAGGGTTAAAGCTGGGTAGCCACGCATCCCAAACTGCCTAGGACAGTACAAGTTATGCAAACTGCCCCAAAATAATGGTTAGTCGTGCCCCAACACTTCAAAATATCCCAGTGTATGTGGTCATCCCATAATCAAAATATGGGGACACATTAGAATCACCCGGGAGCTTTGTAAGCATCTTGATTAAATCAGAACTCATGGGGGTAAGATCCAGGCATTGGTGGCAGGGATTTTTTTTAAGCATGGTTTTAATGATCAGCCAAGGTTGAAGGCTGCTGTCCTCAATAGAAGACATGAGCCTCCTTGATGAGCAAAGGGGCATCAGGTCCCTGGATAGCAGTTTGCTTGGGTGCAGGGATGGGGACCCCAGCTAGTCCTGCAGGGGACTTGCGGCAGCAGAGGAAGAAGCAAGAGTTTGGTTTGGCAGATGCCATCCGTGGCCCCACCATGCTCACTGGTTCTTCTCCTGCTTGTGTTCACTTACCTCCATGCTTCAGGAAGGGGCTGGAGGCTCCTGACAACTCATGCCGGGTGCCAGCTTGGCCGTGAGCAGGTAATTAGTGCCCATCGTGCTCCCAGAGAAAGGCAGTGAAGGAAGTCGCCTGTTTCACCTTGAAGCAAAGAAGGAGAACCCAGAGAAACAGATTTTTCCACACATTTTGGAGAGGTTGGGCCAGAAAATTCCATTGAGGCGTATGGAGTCAGGACACTGGCACAGATCAGCCCCACAGCCCAGGACAAAATCGTGTCCTGTGCAGGGTTTCTTGAACAGATTGTCTCCAAATGTTACATCTCTCCTAATTAATGCTTCGAGGTAAGTCTCTGGCCTCTCGTTGCACACCAGGGAGTTTCTCGGGAAGAGAAGGGCCTGCCATCTCCTTGTCCCAGCTACAAAGAGAACAGCCTATCCCCAGGGAGCTCCCTTGGGTTTTAAATCACTTTTGCAGCTCTGGCATTTATGCTTCTGATCAAAAAGCATTTGCAAGAGAAGAAAATGAAGGTGGAGGTTTGAGAAAGGTTTTTCTTCCTAAGAGGGGCGGCAAACATCACTATAGCTAGACCTGAGTGGTGTTGGTAGCTCCCAGATACATTCTAAGTACTTCCTACATTATGCCTGTCAGTATTTTTCAAGCTATGCTCCTGAAAACCTCTTCCATGATGTATTAGGAAAACTTATTCTATAAAATACTATTTAAGAAACTTCAATATACATGGAAAAACATTGTCATTTGTTTCACAGTTTTGACTTATGAGTAGGAAAGATATTGGCAGGATATTGGCAAAGATATTGGCAAGATATTGCTAAATACCCCCTAAGAGAGTTATAACAATTTACACTACCACCAATGTCATACTCATACACACCTCTCACTATCGTGGCATTTTATAACTTTTTAATCTTTGCCACCCAGAAAAAATGAAAAAGATTATTTCCATGTTCTGCAGGGAGTTTCTGGGGTTTTTTCTGTTGTTGTTGTTGTTTTGAGAGGGGGTCTGGTACAATCTCGGCCTACTGCAACCTCCACCCCCTGGATTCGAGCAATTCTCCTGTCTCAGCCTCCAGAGTAGCTGGGGTTAGAGGCACCTGTCACCATGCCTGGTTAATTTTTGTATTTTTAGTAAAGACAGCGTTTCACCATGTTGGCCAGGCTGGTCTCCAGCTCCTGACCTCAAGTGACCTGCCTGCCTTGGCCTCCTCAAGTGCTGGGATTATAGGTCTGAGCCACTGCACCCAGCCTATCTCCTTGTTTTTTTAAATTTATGTTTCTTACTAATGAGACTAAGTAAATTTTCATATGCTTAAGAAGCAGTTTTACTTCCTTTTCTGTGGACTTTTTGTATTCTTGGTCCACTTTTCCTATTGGTTTGTAGGAACTCTATATATTAGAGAAACCATCCCTTCCTCTGTGGTATAACCCGCAAACATCTTTCCAATTTGATGTTTGTTTTTTTTATTTCATTTATGGTGCATTTAGTTAACTCCACTTTAATGTTATTGAATTTATTAATATTTTCTTTTGTGATTTCTGACTTTTAAATCATACTTTAGAAAGCCTTGTAAGGAAAAGATATTTCATTCTTTCTTTCTTTCTTTCTTTCTTTCTTTTTTCTGAGACAGAGTCTTGCTCTGTCACCCAGGCTGTAGTGCAGTGGTGAGATCTTGGCTCACTGCAACCTCCACCGCCCGGGTTCAAGTGATTCTCTTGCCTCAGCTTCCCGAGTAGCTGGGACTACAGGCATGTGCCACCATGCCCAGCTAATTTTTGTATTTTTAGTAGAGATGGAGTTTCACCACGTTGGCCAGGATGGTCTCTATCTGTTGACCTAGTGATCCATCTGCCTCAGCTTCCCAAAGTGCTGGAATTACAGGTGTGCCTCCGCACCCAGCCCATTATTTCTTTAGGATGATATTTTAAGGGGACTGAGCCAGGCCAGAAACCATTCAGTAGGAAAATATTCAAAGACAACCACCACTTAACTGTCTGTCTTTCTGCATGTGAAGATCATGGTACACTAAGAGAAAGATGAGAAAACAGGTCATCTATTTTCAAGGAGGGTACACAATAGAGCTTCCCACCTGAGGAACTTTTTTCCATAAGATGTCTGTATTGGTCCATTCTTACACTGCTATTAAGAAATACCTAAGACTGGGTAATTTATAAAGACAAGAGGTTTTAATTAGCTCATGGTTCCACAGGCTATACAGGAAGCATGACTGGGGAGTCCTCAGGAAACTTATAGTCATGGTGGAAGGTGAAGGGGAAACAGGCACATCTTCACATGGCTAGAGCAGGAGGAAGACAGAACATGGGGAGATGCTACATACTTTTAAATAACCTGACATCATGATAACTCACTCACTATCATCAGAACAGCACCAAAGGGAAAATTCACCCCATGATCCTATCACCTCCCACCAGCTTCCACCTCCAACACTGGGGATTACAATTTGACATGTGATTTGGGTGGGGACACAGACCCAAACCATATAAATGTCATAATCTAGAAGTCCAGCTCCTGTGTAATCAAATCCCTCTGCTCCTTGAGGTTCTGTTTATTTCTGAGCCATTCCAAGAATTCTTCTAAGATTACAGGGATCTCTTCCCATTAATCCAGCAACTTCCATGTCAGTTGGAATCTCCCAGCAAACTTCAATCTGGTAATAATTGCAAGAAACAAATGAGGCTGGCTGGGTCAAAATATGGCAGGTCAAGTTTCTCTAGGGAATTCGATGGGACATTTAGATGTCCCATCGAATGTTTCTTTCGTGGACATTTAGATTTTTTCAGTTCTAGGGATTTCACTGCTCTCCTATGCCCACCAAATCCCGCCTCACTAATTCCTGCCACATTGGCCCTGTCCCTACAACACGGCTTTCGCCTCTGTTTTCTATTTGGTCTCCTTATGTAGCTCTAGACATGGATGCCTGCTCTGAACCCCAGCATGGCAGCACAAAGCAGGTTCACAGCGCACTGGTTATCACTTCAGCTCACTGCATCTTAGACGGCATTTTCACTACTGTCCTGAGTCAGATGAGACAGAACACTCACACACACAAGTTATATCATGCAGGTCTGTTAATTACAAATACATAAAAAGCCAAATATTCATGACAAGCCAGTTCCCCAAGGCTCAGGAGAGCTTCCCAGGGCAGATGGAGTCTCATCTGGGCATGCCCCACTTGTACTATAGCTGAGGGACCCCAGAAAGAAGCCCTCCCTGGATGTGACCCACCACTGGGAGATCTATGAGTCACTGGGCTAAAGCACTGAAAGACATCTGAGGGGCACTGAAGGACATCTGAGGGGCAGATACAGAGCCAAGGCTGTTCCAGCCAACTCCTCCTTATCAGAAGACACTGTATCTACAGTTATTCTTGACAGCTGCAAGTGAGAATGGCAGAAGAACCTGGTCAGTTCACAGCCACCCAGAAACTGTCCTGCAAGCATCTGGTAACCTGATATCATTCCTGCTCCTGTCCACACCTCCCTAAAAACCCTGCCTTGTGCCCTAAGCCAGTCCAGACTCTAGGTCAGAGAAAAGCGATCCTGGAGACACATTAAAAGAAAGCCATATTCAGGAACCAGTATCTGCCCAATTGACTTGGTCTAGAAGGGAGGGGACTCAGAATTTGTCAAAAGCAAATGGGTATGGATTAGGGTGAGACAGGGTTAAGTACAGGTCTTCCCTTGACCAGTTGTGTGGTCTTGGGAAAGCCATTTAGCTTCTCTGGCCTCAGTTTCTGTAACTGTAAAATAGGGTTGAGAGTAGCACTGACTTCCTAGTACTGTGATAAAGATGGAAAGGCATGCAAGTGCAAGCACTGGGTCCAGTGCTCAACACAGGGTAAACGCCAGACTCCACATGTGCGGGACGAGAGCATGGGGCTGTATGGTCTTATTGCACACCCCTGTGTGGGCACACGTGCAGATGCTGCAGAAGCAGAAGGAACAGGACAGGCATGAGTCTGGCGGTAACGATTGAACCCAGCACCTCCCCTGAGCATCAGACCGGAGACTCGCAGGAACAGAAGCCTGACTTTTCCCACATCAGCCTTCTAGGTCCCCAAAGCCTTGGGCTCCACCCTGGAACCCCAGCACAGTGACTGGGCATCCTGAAGCTTCCATACGTCCTGCAAACAGAGCTAGTCCCGTTTTTCAGTCTTCCTCACCTGGTCACCTTCCTTGATTTTCTGTCCCCTCCCCTCAAAACACCCTAGCCATTCTTGAAGTTTTCATAGAGGAAAGAAACACCTCCCCAAGTCAGCCCTGAGTTTAAGATCACATCCTTCCTAAATCAGAGTACTTATAGCCTGAGAAATCATTTATTTGTGCAGGAGGAAGACAGAGCTCAGAGGAAGAATGACTTGCCCAATGTCAACCACAAGTTGGCTGTCAAGACAAAACCAGAGCATTCACATGCTGACCCCCTGCCCAGTACTCACCACCAACCTGCTGTAGCTCCCAGACCAACTGTCTCCCACTTTTTTGGGAGTCTCCTGGTAAGAACTCTGCTTTTTCACTCTATCTGGGATGAAAATAGAACAGTCTGACTTTGTAATGTCATCAAATATTAAGCTTGATTTTCCCAGCTACTGACATCCAAATTGCCAGCAAGCTTGAAAGCCCCAATGGAGCCCGTTGGCTGTGCTAAAAGAATCAGGGGCTTGCCGCTGGGAAAGGGAAGCAGCCCCCTCTCAATGGCAGGAGGAGATGGGCTGGAGGAAGGGGGGCCTGCAAAGCTCAGTGACCACTAGGGAGCCAGGGACAGGGCAACAGTGGATAAAGACAGATGGGGGTAAGGGTCTTCCATTAAAATTTTAAACCACAGGCACTCCATGACCAGGCATACTTGAAATGCCATCCCTGGGAGATGGAAGCCAAGAGGCTGTTAAGGTTATTGTGTGAAGTTGCCAAAAATAAAAGACATAATGCATCACTTGTCCTTTGGAAGTTTTTTGAAAGGAAAGTTATCCATGACAGGGAACACATTGTGCAAATGGGGGCACGGAAATCAAGCAGAATTTTCTCAGCAGTTTTCCTGAGAGTAACACCAAAGTCTCATGATATGTGAGAGGTAGAGTTAGAAAAATCTTTAGAGTTAGAAACATGGGTGCCAGAGTTAGAAAATTCTGGATTTGGTCTCTGGCTTCATAACTTTTTTTACTGGGTAGGTCCATTAACTTCTCTGAACTTTGGTTGCCCCACTTGTAAAATGAGGCTAATAACACCATCCTCAAAGGGCTGTTTTGAGGATTAAATGGGATGCATGACCAGGCACTCCATTTTGATTATTGGCTCATGCCTATAATCCCAGCACTTTGGGACGCCAAGGCAGGAGGATCAGTTGAGGCCAGGAGTTCAAGACCAGCCTGGGTAACAGAGGGAGACTCCATCTCTATAGAAAAAAAAAAAAAAAAGCGGGGCATGGTGGTACATGCCCGTAGTCCCAGCTATTCAGGAGGCTGAGGTGAGAGGGTTGCTTGAGCCCAGGAGTTCAAGGCTGCAGTGAGCTAAGATGGTGCCACTGCACTCCAGTCTGGGCAACAAGGGCAACAGCAAAATCCTGTCTCAAATAAATAAATGGGGTACATTGTAAAGAACCTTGATGGAAACTTATCCCAAGTAGAGTCTTAGAAAAATAGAGGGATGGTCTATTTTAGAGTTTAAAATGAACTTTATGGTTTAAATAATGACTTAATTTTTCATATGCGAAAACTGAGTCCCACATGAAAAAGTGACTTCCCCATGGCCACCGACAGCAGAATGGAATTCAAGTCTTTTGATTCTCTGGAAATGGGCTTTCTCATATCAAGGAGCACCTCCTCCCCAACATGTCCTCCCTTCTTTTCCCCAAAGCTCAGCATCTCTTAGATATCCAGTATAAGGTATGGGACTGCAGGAGAGAAAACAGGCTGTGTGTTACTGTTTGTGATGCTCAGCCTTTCAAGGCAAGGCTCATATCTAACCCTGCAAAGTAGATGATCCTCGTGCAACTTTCCTAAGAAATCTGAGTCCTGTGAGAGTTAGCATAGCAGGGAGAGAGAAAGAAGGGCAGAAAGACTCTTAGAACCAATTGCAGCAATGGCCAGGTACGATGGCTCACACCTATAATCCCAGCACTTTGGGAGGCCGAGGTGGGCAGATCACTTGAGGTCACAAGTTCGAGACCAGCCTAGCCAAATGATAAAACCCTGTCTACTAAAAATACAAAAAATTAGCCAGACGTAGTAGCACATGCCTGTAATTCCAGCTACTCGGGAGGCTGAGACAGGAGAATTGCTTGAACCCAGGAGGCAGAGGTTGCAGTGAGCCGAGATCACATCACTACACTGCAGCCTGGGTGACAGAACAAGACACACCACCCCAAAAAAAAAAAAAAAAAAAACAATAAAACAAAAAAAAAAAAAAAAAAAATGAACCAATCACAGCAAGATAAAGGAGCTTTTCTCTGACACTGTTTTCAAACAATTGCAGAAGGAGAGCAGTCATGAACAGCTATGGCTGAATGTGTGGAACCAATGAGGGAGAAGATGAATGCTGTGATGCTAAGTTGTAGAAGAGTTCATGTGAACACACACCACGCATGTGCAAAAGGGAACAGGGACCCTAGCAGGACTACAGACCACAGGATGATGGAGGCGTCATCTTGAGTTAAATTAAAGTGCTCAGCCTTTTGTTTCTTCCTGTCATCTATTTTGTTGGGAGTTTTCTGATCTTTGCATTGTCAAGTGCAAGTATAATTTAAGTAGCTGTTTTCATGCCCTTTTGTGTAGATCTGGGTTGTTTCAAACCATTAAAATATTTTCTCCTCTAAGAAGTTGGAGGATGGAGTGAAACCATGTGCCCCTCACACCCACCTGCAGGTAATGCTGATTTTCCTACAACCACAGGCTCTGATCCCACATGTGTGAGGCACTTACTAGGGAGCATTCAGGGAAGATGCTTGGCCTCAGGCACATGCGTTCTAGCTGGAAGACAGAGGTGAGATTGTGCACAAGTGAAAAATAAAGAGATGGCACTTAGAAATTCATGGAATGAAGGGAAAGGGAAAGAACCTGGACATAGATAAATTCAGTTCTCCAGCATGTCAAATGGAGACACTGAGTGGATCAGAGAAGAGAAATGACTTGGCCAAGGTCACACAGCCAGTTCATGGTGCGCTGAGGACTAGAACCTGTCCTTTTGACCAGCACCCTGTGTGCTTATGCTACTCTCTGCTTCTTCTTGCTGGTGACAGGAAGGAACTGAGAATGTTTCATCCATCTTCTTATGCAGACAAGACCCTCCTCCTGAGCCCAGACAGACCCCTCAATCAGAAAGAACCAGATCACGCCTGTAATCCCAACACTTTGGTAGGCCAAGACAGGAAGCTCGCTTGAGGCCAGGAGTTTGAGACCAGCCTGGGCAACATGGTAAAACCCCATCTCTACTAAAAATACAAAAATTAGCTGGGCATGGTGGCCCCCTCCAGTAGTCACAGCTGCTCTGGAGGCTGAGGTGAGAGGATGGCCCGAGCCTGAGGAGGAGGTTGAGGCTGCAGTAAGCCATGATCATGCCACTCCACTCCAGCCTGGGTGACAGAGAGACCTTGTCTCAAAGAAAAAAAAAAGAACCAGAAGCTGCAACTGGGTTGCTCTTTGGTCTTACCTTTCACTGTGTGCAAAACCCTGCGCTATTCATTCTACCTCTCCTGGTCTCTGTTACTTCAACTGAACACCTAGGAATTCACTGCTTGGCCACAGTATGGACAGAATAATAAGAGTTGCCATCTGCAGAGTGTGGGTCGCCAGGCTGTCCAGTCCAAAGCACGCTATCCATGCTGGACTTGCCTTTACTGTGTATTGGCCGTTGAACTCAATGCTTGTATTAAATACGTACATGGCTTTCCATCCTTACTACACACAATACTATAAAGATGGTGCAACTCTTACCCTCATTCTAAAGTTAAAGAAACTGAGGCCCATAGAGCCCAAATAGACTCCCTAAGACCTGCAACTGGTGAAGGGCAGACCCATACTTAACCCTGCCTCACCCTACCGTACCATACCCACTGCTGTTGACAAATTTATCATCCCCGATGCCATCCTATTCATTCATCATCATGACTTACATGTTAACCCCATTTCCCAGTTAAGGATACAAAGCTCAGAGATTAAGTAACTCACTCAAGAATGGAAAGCTAATGCCAGATACAAATGGGCTCATGCAAACATTGGTGTGACTCAGAGTCTTTGTTTTGAAGATACCTGCCAATGTCACTGTGTTTAAATGCCGTGGTTGACTTCTAGTTGGGAGTGGAGGGGGCACATGCAGCAGTGAAGGTCTGAGCCTGGAGATGAGCATGGGATCTGAGAGCATGAGCTGGCAGGTGAAAATCAGGATTTGAGGACTATGGTGCACAACTCAGTAGTGTTTGGAACAGCCACAGTGTTAAGTGATACCAGTTTGGTGGCACACATGACAAGATTAAAAGATTCCAAATGATGCTCAGTAAGTCACTGCCACCCTGTCCCAGGAAGTGTGACCTGGTCGCATCGTGTCTATTAAATTGCCACATTAAGGATACTGCCCCAGAGGGTTGCCTTTCAACCCTATAAGGCTGATGCTGTCCAACTCACCTTACATATCCATGAGCTGAGGCTCTTCAATGTCCCAATAAACACAGATTTTCTTGTAACACGACTTCATGGCTCTTACCTTTTACCTTCAAACAGCTGATCACCCCATATCCGGTCTGCTGGACATTTGCCATGATAATGCCTGTTGACAGATACAAAAAAAAATAAACTTTGATAGACTGGATAAAGAAAATGTGGCATATATACACCATGGAATACTAAGCGGCCATAAAAAAGGATGAGTTCATGCCCTTTGCAGGGACATGAATGAAGCTGGAAACCATCATTCTCAGCAAACTGACACAAGAACAGAACACCAAACACCACATGTTCTCAGTCATAAGTGGGTGTTGAACAATGAGAACACATAGACACAGGGAGACGAACAACACACACTGGGGCCTGTTGGGGGATCGCCAACAGGGGAGAGATAGCAGGGGGTGGGGGGATTGGGGAGGGATAACTTTAGAAAAAATACCTAATGATGTAGGTGACAGGGGGATGGATGCGGCAAACCACCATGGCATGTGTATACTTATGTAACAATCCTGCACGATCTGCACGTGTACCCCAGAACTTAAAGTGTAATTTTAAAAAAAGAAAAAAGAATCAACAAACTTCTTGATTAGACTGATTAATAAATAAAGGAGATACAAATTACCAACATTAAGATTCAAAGAGAAACATCATGTCACATACAAAAAATTAGAAGGACAATAAAAGCGTATTATGAACAACTTTATGCCTGCACATTTGATAGCACATGTGGAAACGGACAAATCTCTTAAAAGATACAAAGTAATAAAACTTACTCAAGAATAAATCATGTAAATAAATAGCTCATTAATTATTAAAGCAATTGAACTAGAAGCTAAAAGTGTGCACCCCCCAAAAAATAAAAAAATAAACTAGCACATTGAATCAAATGGTATGGTGAAGCTGGAAGGCATTTCTGGTACACTGTGTCCAAGCCCGCAAAGAACCCCTCTCATCCACAAGGCCATGAGGGAGGGTGTTTTCAGCAGCTGTCATTAGCACATGGGCTAACGGGGGTGCTGGTGGCTACCACCCCTGGTGGGGGATTTCAGCAGCCTCCACTGGACTCCCACAAAGGGCAGAAATCATGCTGGTGTGACCATGGCAAGCTAAAATCCTCCAGAAAAAGACTGCCTGCCAGGGGACTCTGATGATTTGTAATCAAATTCTGTTTCATTAAAGAGAAAGTGTCCGGAGGTTTTCTGTTGGCCGCATTCTTGCAAATTAAAGATAATGGAGTTAACAGAGAACAATTGTAAGTCAGATACCAACAGGTGAAATAAGCCCAAGGGGGCCGGGCGAGGTGGCTCGCGCCTGTAATCCCAGCACTTTGGGAGGCCAAGACGGGCGGATCACTAGGTCAAGAGATCGAGACCATCCTGGCCAACACAGTGAAACTCCGTCTCTACTAAAAATACAAAAAAAAAAAAAAAAAAAAAAAATTAGTTGGACATGGTGGCGCACACCTGTAGTCCCAGCTACTCAGGAGGCTGCGGCAGGTGAATTGATTGAACGCGGGAGGCGGAGGTTGCAGTGAGCCAAGACTGCCACTGCACTCCAGCCTGGCACCTGTCAACAGAGCAAGACTCTGTCTCAAAAAAAAAAAGAAAGAAAGAAGCCCAAGGAAACTTTATCTCTTTGGATGCATGTATGTGGCTTGTGGGTCCTGCTTGGGCTGGCGGAAGGTGAGCTGGATTCTCTCCTTGCGCAGAAAGCATGGTTCACATTAAAAACAGCTCAGTGGGTCCTTAACCGTATGACTTTGGGCTGGATAGTCTCTGGCCCTGACTGTAGTCTTTAAAACAAGATTTGTAGGGTGACCACAAAAGTAACCACTATGCCAAGAAATGGGAAGTTTCCCAGGGCATGTTACTTACAGTGCCATTATTATTAATTATTAATATTAATAAAATCAGTAAAATTTTGGACAAACTATGAAGAGTTGGTCACCTGGCTGAGCTTCCCAAGGTCCCTGACTGTGCTGATATTCTGTGAATATTCCAACTAACTCTAATTTTCTTGGAAATTGAGTTACAAGAACCCACGAGCCTAACAGGGTTTCAGGTACGTAGAAGGGACTCCACAAGCGTCTCACCTTCCCTGTGTTCCTGGCCAAGCACTGTCCCCTCTGCCTGTTCTGAGATCTCACAGTTCTGTGCTGGTGAAGCCTCCAGAAATGTTATCACCTGCCATCTTCACCACATGTATGCATCCTTCATTATGTAGAGAATGCAGTTTCTAAAGCAACAACCTGCAAAGGTTGGCGGATGTCTCCCTTCCAGCTGAAACTATGAAGCCCCAAAGCACTTTTGTGATTTTTCTCGAGGCCACATGGAGCTGGGGCTCTACCACATGTCTGTGGACTCCAAGCCCAATGACTCACTGACCACGCCAGGCTGCTGCTGCATCTCCCCCCACATACATCCAGGTACCCCTATGGTTTCAGACGCGTGAGCACAGGCCTCCAAAGCACTGTGTTGCCAACCATGAAACACCTGCTCACTACCTGCGCCTTTTGTCCAGAGCACCTCACTTCCTGGGTACCCACTCACCACTGGGCACCTCACTTATGGTCACACCAGCATGATTTCTGCCCTTTGTGGGAGTCTGGTGGAGGCTGCTAAAGTCCCCCACCAAGCCCTGGTCAGCCCATGTGTTAATGTCCCGTGGAGGAAAGGGTGATCACCTGAGGTCAGGAGTTCGAGACCAGCAACCCCTTAGCACCATCTTTGTAACCCAGTTAAGGATACAGAGCTCCGAGATTAAGTAACTCACTCAAGAACGGAAAGCTTATGCCAGATACAAATGGGCTCACACATCCATTGGCATGACTCTCAGTCTTTGTTTTGAAGATATACCTGCCAATGTCACTGTGTTTAAATGCTGTGGTTGACTTCTAGTTGGGAGGTGGAGAGGGTGCATGCATCAGTAAAGGTCTGAGCCTGGAGATGAGCATAGAATCTGAAAGCATGAAATTAAGGAGCACCAGATTAGCAGCCTGTGCTCAGATAAGGGCTTGTATTCTAGCAAGCCCTTATCCAGGGGACAACCACACTCCACATCATACAGCACAGGACCTCCCTGCATCATCGGGTCTCAGTCCTTGCTCCCTCCTCAACCCCAACAACTGCCCAGGAGTAAGGGAAGGAGCCAAAAGGAAGACATGTGGAAGTGGGGCAGAGTGCCCCACTCCGCCATGGCCAGAGGTTACCAGGAGCAGAAACCCTTGAAGCCTGGTGTCTTCCAAGACCCAAACTGGGCCAGAGAAACCCAAAACCCCAGTCAAGAGGGACAGAAATCCAGGAGGAAGCGGGGCCTGAGAGGAAGCGGCAGTGTGTGATTTTTAATTTATTTTTTCTTGCCCTGAGACAAAAATTAATTTGACTTGGGAAAAAAAAAAAGAAACTTTTTACTTGGCTTTTAAAAGTAAAATTTCTGCAACTCTTTTTCCACTTAACAGAACATTTCCTCGACTTCTAAGGCATAATGTTAATATGCACCAAAGATGGGGAATTCCCTGGGCTCAGCGCACATATCATTAAACTGATTTTTTTCCTAATTTCCTAGTAATACTGGCTGGGTTATGCTAACAGGAGAGTTAACAGCTAATTTTGCTATAGGGAAGATAATAACAGGAAATGATCTTTAATAATGAATTAAACAGACTCCTTGGATCCTGATTCTTTTTATTAGATAAGGTCAATGGCATCCTAAATGAGCAAATCTGTCCTAGGCTGGCAACAAGATATGGGGGAAATTGGCAAGCTGACTCCCAGGATAAGGCATGAGTGCTGAATAGCAGACTGCAGATGGCAAGGGGTCAGGCACAGTGGAAAGTTCGTGAGCTTTGAACTCAAAACTGGACGCTAACCCACCCTCGCTGTGGACCTTCAGCAAGACCCCACCTCTCCAAAGATGCCTTCTGAGCTGTTGACAGGATAATAATTCCTACTTTGTGGAGCTTTGGAATCCATCCTACTTACTCCTTTCAGTACATAGAGAATGCAGTTTATAAAACATCTGCACATGCATATGTCAATCAGCTCCCAGAATAACCTTAAAACAGAACATCTGGATGAGAATAACCCCATTTTAGGACAAGGAAGGTCAAACATTGCCTAGAACGTGCACTTGGCAAAAGGAACAACTAGGACCTTAAGGCTGGTCTTCTCACTCCAGTTTATTTCATCTACATTGCCTCTGTGGCCAGGCGTGGTGGCTCACGCCTGTAATCCCAACACTTTGGAAGGCCAAGCCAGGTGGATCACCTGAGGTCAGGAATTCGAGACCAGCCTGGCCAAAATGGTGAAACCCCTTCTCTCCTAAAAATACAGAAAGTAGCCAGGCATGGTGGTGGGTGCCTGTAATCTCAGCCACTCAGAGGCTAAGGCAGGAAAATTGTTTGAGCCTGGGAGACGGAGGTTGCAGTGAGCCGAGATCACACGCCATTGTACTCCAATGTGGGCAAGAAGAGCGAAACTCCATCTCAAAAAAAAAAATGTATATGAGTGTGTGTGTGTGTGTGTGTGTGTGTGTGTGTGTGTGTATATGTATATATGTAGATATATACATATATATATAGTCCTTGTTCTGTAAACTAGTTGTCTCTTTTTTTTAACCACGCAGATTTTTTTTTTTTTTTTTTTTTGTGAGACAGGGTCTTGCTCTGTCACCCAGGCTGGATTGCAGCGGGTGACAGAGCAAGACCCTCTTGCAATCAGCTCATTGTAATCTCCACCTTCCAGGTTCTAGCGGTTCTCCTGCCTCAGCCATCCAAATTGCTGGGATTACAGGTGTGCACCACCACACTCAGCAAATTTTTTGTATTTTTAGTAGAAACCAGGCTGGTCTCGAACTCCTGACCTCAAATGATCTACCCACCTCTGCCTCCCAAAGTGCTGGGATTATAGGCATGAACCACCACACCCGGCCTTAATAACACAGACTTTTTTTAAATAAAAAGTGTTTCAGGAGACATCACAAAATTGTGTATTTATTAGTCATATACATGTTCTACTCTATTCCTAGCGTAGATTTATATACATCAAATATGCATAAAAATAGAGGAAGTCAACATAAACTAAGTATCAACTGAAGTTCTAATGT